TGGCTATGAGGCGGAGTCAATATTATTTTTTTCTCATCAAATAACGTTTTTGCCATGCCTCCACACACTCTGACAACATACACTCCTCCTCCTCCACACTGACAACAACAAAATACTCTTCACCTCCTCCTCCACACACTCTGACCACAACAAAAACACTCCAGCTAGCTAAAGCTAGACATACAGTGTGTTTGCTAATGCTTTTAAAAATATGTTTTTGATGTGGATATTCGGACTAAACATTGGCAATAGCAGCGCTCACACACCTGTCACACCGCTGATCCTCCTCCTCCTCCTCTGCTCACACAAAGGGGTCTGCTCCTCTGCTCACACCTGTCTCTCTGCTCCTCCTCCGCGAGTATCCATCTCTCCTACACTGCGATCATTCCCGTTACTTTCTTTGTATCTCACTCAGACACTGCTAAAGTTATCTGACAGTTTTTTCGGAGGACCCGTTGCATACATAGCTGCCCGCGCGCCTGCCTGTTTACAAATCGCTTTTGGTGAAAATTTGACTTTACTTGTAAAAATGTTCTTTTGATCAAACGAAATCAAAGAGGTCCAGAGAAAGGGGTTTAGGGTTCCAAATTTGGAGTGCAGTCTGCCCTTTGGGGACCCTTGAACTAGTGTATTTATAAAATAAAATAAAAGGAAGGAAGATTGCGAGGCCCCTGTGTGGTGCGAGGCCCTGTGCGACGGCACAGGTCGCACAGCCCTTAGGACGGGCCTGATCCCAACCGTGATTTTTTTCAAACCGTTGCACCAGGGCTCGAGACTAACATAGTCCCGTCGTCCCGGGGACGGGAAAAAAAATGCACGGGACGAGATGAAATTCTCCCCGGGACGGTCCCGGGACGGAAAGCCTTTAACCAATTTTTATTTGTAAAATAGGCAATATATTTATGTAAGCGAGTGCTAATGTTCCATATTAAAGAGAGAGAGCTCCCGCTCAGGGAATTCTGTTCTGCTCTTATTTGACGCGGAATCATGGGCAAACATTTTCCCGCTTCTCCGTTCTATGCGCGGACCCAGTTTGACCACGTAGCAGGTGCATGCACCTGCACAGTTGGCACCCTGTCCATAGAGAAGGAGCGGTAAAGGTGCAATCCAGAATGCTGCGGTGGCTGTCGCTGCCAAAAGACAGGAACGTTGTCGCAGGCTCTTCGGAAGCGCAATCCAACCAGCCTCCACCAAACACTTTAAAGGTAAGATAATTTATCATTACAACGAAGAGTTGACTGCTAACGCTAACACTGCAGTTTGATAGACAAGTTAGCTTTATAAAATACACATTGAATTAATGGGAAATATGCAAAACACATACATTTGAGGCCTTATAAGGAAACGTTATTTCAAATGAATGGGTAGTTGCTCAACTAATAGAAATATTCAACTGTCTTCTTATTGCATTTGTTACCCCAACGAATGCTAACACTAAATAATACGGACATTAGCTATATCTATTATGGCACAGATTTTGCTAATGTCCGTATTATTTAGCGTTAGCATAAAAAAACAGAGAAATCAACAGCGGGTCAGAGGCCTTTTGTGGCCTTGGTGCGCGCTGCCTGCGACCCACCTCGGCCCTGTTAATCCATAATTGATGAACAAATCATTACGTGACCTACTAGATCATCTGTCTGTCTAAGCCTCGTGTTTTAATACAACACATTCTAGCATTAATAATGTCCGTGCAGCTGAACGAGAGTGGCTTGAGCTAAAGACACTGGTGGACAGGCGTTACAGACAGGGCTGGACTGGCCATCGGGCGTACCGGGCAATGCCCATATTTGGGCCGGTCTGTTTGCCTCATACAAAAAAGATGTTTGTGAAAAGTGTAAATCCGTTGAGAAATGTTCGAGGGGAGCGCGCGTGTCCGCGGGGCACCTGCTGGCTACTCGAACGGGATTTCACCGCAGTGTTCCCGCATCCAGCGGCTCTGAGCTGGACGCAGGAACCGCTCACCGGGAACCGCTCACAACACAACACGGTGAGCGCGTAGCTGCAACTTGACCATGTACCCAAGACCATAAACGCGCACAGGACCATGCATGTCTTTGAGTAATTTGTGCACCCAATAAATACACCGCTGCAGAAAACAGTCCGCGTCTCCCCTCTCCTCTAGATTAAAGCTCGGGTACCTAAATTTTCCATTGCATTAAAAGCTCATGTTTGAGCCCAAAATTAATATGTTGTGAACAGATTAAACAGATTTAGAGCCAGCCAATGGCTGACAATATGCATTTCAGACATTTTTGACCAATTCTCATGTCTGTGCCCACCTCCCTCACTCTGAGACATGTTTATTACTCTCTTGTAATATAGAGTATTGTACTTTATTTTATTGTTGAAACTGCAGACATCCTGATCCTCTACAGTATTTGCTTCCACATACTGTATAAACCAGGGGTCGGCAACCTTTAGTGCCCCTAAAGTGGCTCCTGGAGCCTTTTCAAAAATGTCTGAAAATGGAGTGTGAGGGCTATATTTTATTTCTAGTTTGAATGCGGTTTCTGTAGGAGGAAAAACATTCTTAACGTTTTTCAATGCTGCAAAAACTTGCATAAGTAATATTCAATTTTAGCATTTCTGTCAACGTAGTGCGTCATATCCTGTGACGCGGCCCGTGCCAGGCGGCCGCTGCTGTAAACAAACCGGCGTGTGCGCATCATAGACTGTGTGTGCGCATGGATCCCAAAGATAAAGAGAGAGAGTCTATAAGACTGGACTGAGAATGAACATTTGCTTTCAGTCAATGAGGAAGGACTGCTTCATGTTTGTAATGAAAAGTTTTGTTGCAACAGGAGGAACAATGAAGCTTTAAACACTGTTCACTGAAAGATTCATTCATCATAAAGTCAGAGCACCTATTTTCAGACTTCAAATACCTTCGCAAAGACGGCGAAAGAAAAGGCCATTAAGGACATTCAGCTCCAGCAAACTTCAGCCTGTGATGGATATGAACAGACAGTGATGCAGGTGAACTCGGAGCCAAAACGCAGATTTATTTACTGTATTTGTACAATTGCAAGAAGGCAAAAAAAATGGAAGTTAAACTTAAAGCAGAGTCGTCACGTGGTGCGTCATTCTCTCCAGGACATGCTGCAATGAAAATACATATTTGATAATCATGAATGGTTTTTATGTGTTTGTAGCCTTTACTTTGTCATTTAGATATTAGGCTAATATAGCTAATGTAGCTAAGGTAGATAATGTAGCTAATACAGCTTCAGCCCCTGTTACCTTCATATAAGCCTTATACAACGCAGTTTTTTTTTTTTTTGTGGCTCCAGACAGTTTTTTTGTCAAATATGGCTCCTTGAACCTTTTGAGTTGCCTGGGCCGCTAAGAAGGAAAAAATGCCCGGGCCGTTTTT